AACCCTAAACCCTAAACCGTTCTCTTCGCCACCATCGGGTCATGCTTCGACTGGATCGGACACCAGGCTCCACCCGGCGTTCTTGGCTCCCTGTGTCGGTCGAGCAGGTCTGGCAGCTTCGGGTGCAAGCAGGCTTAAGGGTTTAGGGTTTAGGATATGGAAGGCTACAGCTTTTGAGCTCAGGACCTGCTGGCGTGTTCAGCAGTACAGTCATGATGCCAATGAGATAATCACGAGATATCATGAAAATGAGGATGAGGATGATGATCCTCTGACTTGTGTCGACACTATCTTCTGCCCGGTTCTGCAAGGTACTTTAGGGGCCTAAATGATTACCAATATTATTCTGGTGGTTCCTTGTTTTAACTATAGAAAATACCCCAAAAACCTGGCACCACTCACGTGCTTTATCGTCGCAAAGCCGGTGGCTGAAAGGGATCTTAATTAGTAGGGATGTCGGGGTCCCTCTGTCGTTTTGGTGCTGCCTTTTGGACGCACGTGTTTCAATTCCACAGTGCAGGCAAGGAACCTGACCGTGCTTCATATGATCATGACCGCTGGTCCGCATCACCCCAAAACCCTATTCTAATTACTCAGGCCCCTACATTATTGAACTGCCGCCGTTTTCGTCCGCACGAGCAGAGATATCTTTTTCACGTGCGGCCTTAGGGCCTTGCTTCCAATTAATATAGGTTTAGGGTTTAGGGTTTAGGGTTTAGGGTTTAGGGTTTAGGGTTTAGGGTTTAGGGTTTAGGGTTTAGGGTTTAGGGTTTAGGGTTTAGGGTTTAGGGTTTAGGGTTTATGATTAGAGCAGGGTCTTGGGCCCCCTTATACTATATTGATAATAAGGAACCCCCAAAATAATGTTGGTAATTATTTAGGGCCCTAGACTCAGCCCTAAACCCTAAAGCAAGAGTCTTCGATTGGCAACTGCCGGCACTACACGAAGAGTAAACAAGCACATGTGAAGAGCGGCGGTTCCTATGACCACGAGGGCACAATGCTGGTAAACAGAGTCCTTTTATTTGAAAAAGGGTCGTCACCCACAAAGGGGATGTGTGCATAGGGGACAAGGGGTTGAAGTTCTTGGACTTGGGGGGTCTGACAGGCCCGCACCGAACGTACACCTGCGACGACCGTACGCCTCTGGCCCGGAGCCGTTGAGATTCGATCTTGATGTCAGAAGAAACTAGCCACTGCTGACGGACACCATCAACAGCATGCTCGAAGCTTCACGCTTGAGAAAAGCACGGCGGAAAATACGGGGGAAAGCACCCAGCTATGTGTGGCAATGGGCAACGCACCAAGGTCAACCCGCCAAAGGAAAGACCTCGGGCAGTGCCCACATCGTACCATGTGCGCCGGGATCTGGGAAGAACTGAAACTCTAAACCAAACAACCTAAGCCCCGAACCCTACACTCAAACCCCAAAGACAAAAGCCTAAACATGCCTGCACCCTAAGCTCTAAGGCTTAGGGTTCCGAAGCCAAGGCTCCACCCCGCAGTAAGGCCTCAAACCGGCAGGTGCTAGGGGTGCAACAGGATTAGAGGGCGTAACGTTTTATCAAGGACTTAGATTAGAAGGATTTCAGAACGGTTTATTTAATATAGGGGCCTTAATAATTCGAATAGGGTTTCGGGGTATATTATACTATAAGTATAATAAGGAGCCCGCCAAAAGCCTATTCTAATTACCAAGGCCCCTACACTATCATGGCTTTGAAAGAGTCTCAAATGGTCGTTTGCAGCACCTTGTGGGGACTCTGGGGATGCAGAACTCAGGGGTCCTCGGGCTTAGGAGCTTCAGGGCTCAGAGGCAGCGTAATGGAAATGGTAGAAAATTTCGGGCTCTTGATGGCAACAAAAAACAAAAAAACTCTAAACTCTGAATTTGAAACCCTAAACCCTGCACCCTAAACCCTATACCCTAAACCCCAACCTAAACCTGGCCCCGAGCACTTGAAGCCCCATCTCAGGCTGTGTAGATTGGTTCCAGGAGCTTCGGGATGAGAGGGTCTAGGGTTTAGGGTTTAGTGTTTCGGGTCTGGGGTCTAGGATTTCGGGTCTAGGATTTAGGGTTTAGGGTTTAGTATTTCGGGTCTGGGGTCTAGGATTTCGGGTCTAGGATTTAGGGTTTTGGGTTTAGTGTTTCGGGTCTGGGGTCTAGGATTTCGGGTCTAGGATTTAGGGTCTAGGGTTTAGGGTCTAGGATTTAGGGTCTAGGATTTAGGGTCTAGGGTTTAGGGTCTGGTGTTTTGGGTCTAGGGTCTAGAGTCCAGGGTCTAGGGTTTGGGGTCTGGGGTCTAGGGTTTAGGGTCTGGGGTTTAGAGTTCAGGGTTTAGGGAACAAGACATGGGATTAAGTATTGGATTCATACAACGATAAACTCGCCTTAAACTTGCTTATGGAGCTGCAAGGTGACATGTAAGTTTTATGATTGCCTCTCCACTTTGTTCCCGGCGCCGAAACATGACAGGTGGAACGCCCCAAAACCTACTTGGCTGTTCTGATATCAGAGTCTCAGAAAATCATGGGTACCCTATTTCCCACAATACAGGTTATACTATCTAAGGCCGATGTAAGGGTCCCTTGTTTTCTGACCTCCCATAGGTGCTTTTGAGCCCGGTGATTCGCTAAGGCCGCCTACGGCCTGGAAGACTCCACCGCTCCGATCGCGAAAAGATGCAGGCGCGGAAGGCTGCATCTCTGATTCCGTCGCTCAGGGTCAGTACCTCGAGGCTTAGGGTCTCTTCGTGCAGCCCTCGGCAGCAGCTCCGTTCGCTGGAGAGGATGCACATCTCCGGTTCAAGTTCTGGTGCCCGGCTGGCTCCTACAGCTGCTAGGAAGGCAACACCGAGCCACCAGTGATCACCCTGGCAACAACACCAGCTGCAGTAGCAGTACAAGCAATGGCCCACACTGTCGAGGCAATCACATCAAAGAAGACGCTGTTGCTATTGTCGTTGTAATTGACCGCGCTGTTGCGTTACTGTTGCTGCTGTTGCTGCTGTTGCTGCTGTTGCTGTTGCTGTTGCTGCTGCTGCTGCTGCTGCTGCTGCTGCTGCTGCTGCGCCGCCGCTGCTGCTGCTGCTGCTGTTGCTCTTGCTCTTGCTCCTGCTCCTGCTCCTGCTCTTGCTATTGCTGCTGCTGTTGCTGTTGCTGCTGCTGCTGTTGCTGCTGCTGCTGTTGTTGTTGTTGCTGCTGCTGCTGCTGGTGCTGGTGCTGCTGGTGCTAGTGCTGGTGCTGTTGCTCTTGCTGGTGCTGTTGCTCTTGCTGGTGCTGCTGTTGCTGCTGCTGCTGCTGGTGCTGCTGCCGGCGCTGGTGCTGTTGCTCTTGCTGTTGCATCCTCGCCGCCACCGCCGGCGCCGTCGTCGTCGCATCGCAGTAGTAGTAGTAGTAGTCGTCGTAGTAGTAGTAGTAGTAGTAGCAGCCGTGGTAGTGGTTCTTGCTGTTGTTCTTCTTCGAGCTGGAGTAGTAGCAGTAGTAGTAGTAGTAGTAGTAGTAGTAGTAGTACTAATTTTAGTAGTACTAGTAAAACTAGTAGTAATAGTAGTACTACTAGTAGTAGTAGCAATAGTAGTACTAGTAGTAGTACTGTCATTCAATGTTGATAACTATCGACAAATGAGTAGAGTCTGAGTAGAGGACATGCAGTAACACTGAATGTGTGCTGATACCGACCATTAAACAGGAAGCAGTAGCAACAGTAGCGGCATCATAGGGGAAGCCAACCTAAAACTCGAGCTTTAGATGATGTTGCTCCCACATTGACATGGCATGACTGACCTCGCACAGCCGTGACAAGCTTCCCCTTGCAAACAGTTTCCAATGCAAGCCAGTTCAGCGAGACTGGGAAAATCATCCTCACTTCGCCGCATCGACACGGACAACATCCATACTTTGTCACTGCAGCTTGCTAAGACAAGACCTTCTTCTGCGAACTCCAGAAGGTTGCGCGCAAGCATTTCAAACGGTGCCCATCTGGGATTGCTTAGATGTACAAGGCCGCCAGTTGAAACATGCAAAGCCTGAGGGGGCTTGGCAAATCAGCGGCTGGCTTTGCAGAAGGTGTCACCAAGATCAGTGGAAGCGTGGTTGCAGTTGACGATCTGAGCAGGCAGGAACATGTGCCTACTCCGCAATCGCCCTAACCCCAGCCTACACCCTAAACCTCGAGCCTGACCCCGAACCCTAAGCCGCTTGCTCCGCGAGCACGACACAGACCTCTTTCCTCTCGCTCCCGAGCAGTGGTCGCCGCAATCAATCCGAATCAACAAGAAGTGGAACACCATTTTACTATAACGTACTCTACTGTATAATACTAGATTATACCATACTACACAAAGAGTCATCTGAACGCGGCCTCTTCTGTCAAAACAAGGCACATTGGTGAAAGAATCCAGCGTGAACGTCGCGCCGGTGACGACGTTGGTGTTTCCAGACAGCGTGACCGTTCCAGTCCCGGTCTGGAATTGACCGGTACCTCCGTAAGGATCGGGAGAGCTTGAGCTTTCAATCTTTGTACACTTGCTTCAGAAGCGCAGCTTCAAGCTCTTAGATTTCAGCTCATCCGCGACACACGCACTGATGAGCCGGCCTGTGTTGGCCATAATGAGGTTCATGTTCGCTGCAACAGCCACATGGCCATTGAAATCGATCTGACCCCCAGCAGTCGAGAACCTTGCGAGCGGAGCTCCCAAGGCGAGGTTAGCAGACCGATTTCCGATTCTACTTCAAGAAGTTACCAATATCAGCATGCTTCCACATGTTCCAACTCACAAAGCTCGTCATCATGCGCTTCAGACCAACCAGAAACCCAATCAGGTGCATTCTTCTACTTCTCCGATTGCTACTACAAGGTAGCTTTATTGACTGCCCAGGTGACGTCTTTATAGTTCCATCCTGGTCGTTGTTGAAGCTGACATCACCATAGACCTGGAAAGAGCCAAAAGCCATCCACGACAAACACACGCAACTCATCGAAATCCTCTCCTAGCATTCATGGCCAGGCTCGTTTGGATTTCATGCCAAAGCTTACAGGCATCATCAAGGCTTCAATTCATCTCACTTCACCCTTGCATATTGCGGAGGCAATCCATACCACTGCCTTAATCAAATTCGCAGGCGTGCTATTCGTAGCGCTGTCATCATTGTTGTCGCCATCATCGAAATCATCTGTGTAAAAGCCATGTTCTTCTTTTGTCACAGTAAGCATAACAAACGTTGCTGTTCATCACTGCTGTGATGAAGATACTGCATATGCATACTGAGACTACTCGACCAGTACTGCCACTACTGTCACCCTAGCATCCTCCAGTGATCTTAATTTTCTTACTTGTGTTACTTATGCATGTATTTGCCTTTTTTGAGCGAGCAAGTCTGCTTCTAATATCGAGTCCAGGTCGACTCTTTTGATCTGTGCCCGGTGTCTCGACTGCCCATACTACCCATACCGAGATCTTCCTGGTCACGGCGGGTTAGTAGAGCAAACCGCGTTTACGTATGCAACACACATCATATCATCCTCAGAACAACATACTTGCTGATCTCATCGTGGTGACCTATCTCGTCAACCCAGCAATTCCAACAATGATGCAAAACCATGGCCTCTTGCTCGAATTGTAACAAGTAGCACCAACCAGTAATTTTTGTTGATCAGACTGTGGCAGACATTTCAGTCAGCGGCCTCTCTGATTGCTCGCCAAGGTTGGCACATCCGAGCTTGTGTTTGTGTTCGTGTGGCTTCACGGCTTTAGAGTATGGGTGCAGGATGCTCTCAGTAATTCTACATGCACCCTAGCATTCTTGAACATCAACACCTGACAGCCCACACATCGACTGATAACCGTCTATCATGACGTGTCTCTACTCAGGGTCAAAGGCTCGGGATGGTGCTTCCGATCACGGTCCAGAGAGAGAATTTGACTGGTCCGAATTGCCAATGATGTATGCGGGCCAAGCATCCGTGAGAGAACTTGAAGCACCGTTGGCAGCATCTGGCAGGGGGTATCATGTCATTCAGGGCTCCTACGCACGAGTCCCCTGATACCACCAGGGTGGTGAGTACGAGGACACCATTGCCACGCACTTCCAGGCCCCAAGCTCAAGATTCCTCCTGATACTAATTCCAAGATGTTCTTCACACTGGGGCCCAAAACTCCAGACACTTACCCAGAAGGCTTTCAGAGACTCAGCGATGTGAGACTCGAAGTGAGCTAGCCACATCCAAGACCGATCGTTTCTCAATTCAAGCCCACGCAAACTAAAACCGGATCTAACCCAGCAGAAACAAAACTTCCCGAAGAGGCCAGCGACGTCTGGACGATTTGGGAATGCTGACGATTCTGAGACTCTGACTGGAGCCGACGGTGGTAGCTCCAAACCTTGTGCAGCACATGCAACATCAAGCATGTTGCAACTCCACGCCCTGCGTTGACATGCACCTTCGGCACTGAGGAGCGCACAGCTGAACAATTCCGCCGTTTCCGTAGCTTCCCACAGAGAAGGGCTGGCTGTCTGCCTGGCTGAGGCATGGATGAGACGTGCAGTCGGGACTACGGGCAAGCAGAGCCGGCACGACTACAACGGTGGGTCCATTCAGGTTCACTGCGCCGGTGCCCGTGCTGAAGGTGCTTGAGCCTCCCCTCGGTTGACAGAGCTCTCACGCTTTGAAGTTCCAAGGACAGAAAACCCTGTCTGCGCTTCTTCAATACCAAAACGCGACCTGCCGGGATCTGCTTTCTTCGACAAAAGCACACTTGGACGTTGCCGTTCAGGGAGACCGACCCAGTTCCAGTTTGGAAGGTGCCGGCGCCTGTTGCCTCAGACTGTTCAAGGCATGCGCAGCAGCATATCCACCATTGTAGCATCGCGGTGCGAGAAAGAGCCAGAATAGCTTTAACAGCTATGGCAACACAGTTAGAAATTGAAAAATGCCAGCACTAAGTAGCTTATATAGTAAACAAGCTAGCATTGACAAACTAGTACGAATACTAGCAAAAGCAGTACCACTTACCGCATTAATAACAACAGCCGTCGTCAAGGTTATGGTGCTGATAGCGAAAACAGGTAAGGGTAAGGATGGTGGTGGCGGCGGTGACAGAGGTCATAGTTGTCGCAAATACAGTCGCAGCCGCAGCCCTCGCAAGGGTACTCGCTGTTGTCGTAGTAGCAGTAGCAGTAGCAGTAGCAGTAGCAGTAGCAGTAGCAGAGCAGTAGCAGTAGCAGTAGCAGTAGCAGTAGCAGTAGCAGTAGCAGTAGCAGTAGTGGTAGGGTAATAGTAGTAGTAGTAAACCTGTAACTACTACCAGTACTACTCCTACTACTACTACTACCACCACTACTACTACTACTACTACTACTACTACTACAACTACTACTACTACTACTACTACTACTACTACTACTATCTTTTTTCTTTCTTCTTTTTCTTCGTTGCGCAAACGTCCGAAGGCTTCCCTGCGTGGCTATGTAAAAGCGTGTGTCTGAGACACGGCTATTCGAGGCTGTATTCGAGACTGCAGAACCGTGAGGATGCATTACACGCAAGAGCATTAATAATAATGGAACGTGCATTTCCCTCGTCCGGGCCGATAGCCCCAATGAGCAACGACGAATTATTGCCACGTTTTGGTGGACGACATACAATGTATCTTGGATGAAAGAACGCTACAAGTGGAAGCACATACACTCACAATGTACAGGGTGTCAGCTGCTTGCATGCCGATTGGAACAACGGCATCGGCTCACGCTCAGGCTGGAAATCTCCGAAGCGCAATTGCACCCAGCATATGAACACACATTGACTGCCATTCCATGTCATATTGCGCGGCATGTTTTCCAGCATCCTGCTGCTTCTTTTTGCAAAAGCTGATGTGTGCATATTGCTCATAAGGGCTTCATGCACAAATCCACAAGCAGATCATGCTCCGCTGTTGGAAGCCACTCATGATTTCTGATGTGGTATGTGCCAAGTCTAAACCTATCCCCTTTCCACGGGAGCACAGCATGCTTTCGCCGTGCCAGAAAGGAGGTAAATGGAAGAGTGATCGGCAAAACCTGACTGAATGCTCCATTTTGTTCCAGCCTATACTGTCCTGCTTCGGCCTCCACAAACAGCTCGCCACCTTCAAGCGAGCTCGACGGTATACGTGTGTTCTCAACCATGGCATGACTATGAGGATCACAGTGGAGGGAAGAGGGCACATTTAAGGCCAGAAAAAATGTACTGCAGTGCCCCTCCGTCTTCATCACATTCCCAATGCTGCGCAATAGCTTGACCTAATTAGGATACTGCATGGTGTTCGTCGTGATTCCAAACTTACCACCATGAACCCGAGCACCAAAGTGGTGCTCGTGCGCAAGCGGTGTCAGTGATATGCAGTGATTGATGCCTGGTAACCACACTGTTCGGAAGATTGTGGGAAAGCTTGCGAAGTTGTTTGTATATACGTGACATGCTCGCGCATCATAAACCATGAGCAAGCCAGAGCATCCTGCGCACAGGTAGGTGGGGTATCAAAGGCATTGAAAAGAGATACCCTCGTCCTCATCGATGAACGAGTTCTAAATCATGGCCTCAGTGGCTGCTGCCCTGTCCTGCCTATCCCTTGGCTGAAGCTGCGGTTGACTTATCGGCTCATCGTCCAAGACTTTGCCGTTTGAATCCGAGGGGTTCCCTGCATAAAAGACTCACTCAGCAAAAGTTTCCGATATCTGGAGCATTCCTCACGAGCTATGGCATCCGGCATGATTGGCCGGCGGGGCTGCGACTCCGATCTCCTCGACCTGATTCATCAACCTCAGCATGCACTTGTTGAAGCAACGGTGCCGAAGCAGTGTCTGCCATCTGTGTAGCACAAGCCGTCTGTGCATTTTGAAACTGGAGAAAATCCGTACTGTCGGATTGCTACAGCTGACAGAGCAGCCCTGGTCTACCATGAATGCAGTGACCGTGGGCTCGACAACTGCAGGGTCAGTATAATGGCGGGAACATAGCGTAAATGCAGACATTGAGGAGTGCAGGTTGGTTATCCATCAATTTGCGACTCGCTGCATGTTGCTTCTGCGTAAGCTGGCCTGAGCTCATGTGCTCCACAGGTTTGGTCAGAGATGATTTTGGGCTCATAACTTGGTCCACCGATGAGCTGGGGAGACAGACTCCGGCGACGACATGTCTCCATCCCGGTATCCTTAGCTGACGATCCTGCCAATCTGAGCATACCTTCTCCGACTGCGTCTCTGTAGGGCCAGAGGTACAATCTTCTTGCGTGAGAGAAGGAAACACGATATCAGGATCGATATCAGGATGCCTTCCTCATATCCCACCTCTTCCAGGCATCGCTGAGAGGGCCGGTTGGATACAAAATCGTTGCCCGGACCGGTAGTCCCCACAAGCAGCATCGGTTGCACGCCGAGATGTCCTGAGTCTGGACGCGGAGCCTCTAGCCCCTGTAGTCCTGGATCTGCTTCTCAAGTTCGCACTCACCGGTCGCTCCGGACGCACAGACATGCCCACCAGCTGGGTGACACTTAGCCCCGTCAAGAGGGCAAGATGTTCTCTCATTTTGCGAGAGGCATCTCCATGACTGCACAGCTGCAGGCTGAACATTATGTCATTTTGACCCTGCCCGTCATCTTCTCCTGCAACTCACGGGTGGGGTGGAAGCGCACGACCGTGCCGGGGACCGCCGCAAGGGTCTGCATGGACTCAAAGACCACCGCAGTCTTCTCTCGCAGTTGCTCACGAACCAATCTTTCATTGCCCGGGTCCCATCGAACGCAGGACCAGTCCCTCATTTCCGGCTCAAGCCAGCCGAGATTCTTCAGGACGGTCATCTGTTCCTCCTGTTCAGGAAGATTTGTGAGGCGAGCCGAGAGCTCCTGGAAAGACGAGTGACTTGGTGAGCTCCACGAGCTGGGGAGTTCTGTCTTTCATCTCCCTCCATTTCTGCTGCATGGTGAATAGATCCGGGACCACCGTCGCCTTCATGTCCATCTTCATGAACATTACCCATGTGAGCTCGGCCTTCAACCCGCCCAAGCACACCTTCTCTCGGAGCAGCTTGTGACCTCTTTTTCCGGGTCGGTCTTGCAAGAATCCTGCCGTGCCCACGAGTCCCAATCCGTGGCAGAGTTTCGCCTTCATTGCTGGCCTTTGTCGGCCTGTCTCTTGCCTGCTCGTTGTCCATAGCCCTTTCCCCAAGCATTGTCGGTCTCGGGGGCGTGTTTCTGACGATCATCAAATTCTTCGTCACCACGCTCCGACGGTAGTGCAGTTGATGGAGCACTTAGTAACTTAGTCCCGGGCCCTGCTGAGATCCCACCGTGGGCCAGCATTGATGAAAGAACCCACGCTCTAGCTGCTTGGTTTGGCCCATCTCCGTATCTCTCATCAGTAGTGGCGCAGAAAAGGCCATGGCTTGTAGGGTCAGGGAGCAATCGGACACGACAGTGATCAGGACAGCTTTAGTTGAGAGGCCACAGCACCAGGTACCAGTGGTATGGCAGGTAGGGGCTGCGACTGCACAACAACGACATAGGGGCACGGGGCATTACGCAGATGTCCATCACACCATCATCGGTGACGCACCATGAGTTCCCGAGAACTTTCTGTGAAGAACGGCAGCATCATCTGTTCTGGGATGTCGACGATGGTGTTGTCCTTCCTGCCGGCATCGTACCTGTTGAGTTGGAGGCAAACTTAACTAGCCGATATGGGTTCACCAAAGCAGTGAGGTGATCACGACGACGCCAGCGGTCAATGATGCTCGCGACGTTAGTCCGCTGAGTTGGTAACGGGGGAATGAGCATCGTCACCGGGTGAATACCTTGGGTGCGTACATGCGCCACTCCATGAAGAAACACTTCTGCAAGCACTTGGAACATAGTCGGACACCGTTTGGAGTGCAAGGAGACATTCTTTGCAACGCGGTTGCAGTACACACAGGGCCGCCTGAACATTGATGAGAGACTCGCTGATTCCGTGATGGCCTGACGTTGGCAACTGTGCCACATCACACCATGTGACTGTCTCCAGTGACACTTTTTCTGTCCACAGAGCCAACATTGACAGGAATGTTGACATGGGAGATTGCTATCCGTGTGTAGATCACGAACTGGAGTGTCCTCCGCTGAATTGGCTCTGGGGCTGGGGCACTGACAGAACCCGCAGAGTCTCCTTGCGGTCCAGCAAGGGGTTCTTGCGCTGCAATGACCTGGAGTAGCCTGATTCTGAGACACATACCTTGTGTGATGCGCTTTGTGAGCATTTGCCAGGACCCCATTCGTTGGCGGCAAAGCCTGCAACACGGTAGTCCGAGCCGACTATGCCTACGCTTCTCCCGCTAAAAGTTCAGACTGGCCGCCTGTTCAAGTTCAGGACGCTCTGTCCACAAACTGCGCACGCTATTTGGGTGACCTCTTCGGCAGTGGACCATCACCTGGCTGAGACTTTGATCACAAATGATTTGAAGCTGATTGACAACCTGCTGACTCCGTTCCTCCTCACACAATCTCAAAATCTGCTGATCTTTGCACATCTCTTCCCGGGAATCGTACCTGTTGATCAGCGCGTTGTTGTAGATGTGGTAGGAGAGGAAGGCCAGCCTTGGTGAGCACTGCTTTATTCGAGTATCCTGTGACATAGATCCTCAGGAGCTTGCGCAGATGCATTGCCGCCGTAGGTTGTGACAACCGGCATGACGATGATGTGATTCCTACAGCCATGATGCCACGCAGCAGAGCAGACCAAACGCACATGCGGTAAATGCTAAGTCGTCGTGCCTGACTGAGACCCCCATTTGTACGCAACACTGCTCGTAGCTGTGCAAAGTTTGCATTTGCCTGCACGACTCGACATTCAGCAGTCTGCATTTCGAAGCTGCCATAGCTCAGCACTGCACCCAGATACGACTTCTTGGCCTGGGCTGGGATGTAGATGTCATTAGCCTAAGAAATTTAAAACCGCTTCGCCAGGTTGCGTGCTTTTTGTTTTGTAGTGCACTATGGGCCTGACTGCCTATGAAGGGTAAAACAACAACATGAAACATTGCAACGATGATCCTGAGGTTTTTGATAGCATTTTCCAAATCTGTGGTGCTGTTGGTTTCCCAGTAGTAGCGCTTGCCATCAGCGAAAATTGACGAATGTCGTTGAACCCAGTTTGCATCAACGGCATCATTGAGCAGCCGACATAATCTGATCGTCCAGCATGCATAGATGGTGGGGGTTACTCCGCAGCCGTGTCTGAGGCCTCGCTTCATCGTTGTAGCGCCGCACTGCCCGTTGCGCAATTTGTGTAGCTTGGACTGCACATGAAACTGCATGAGGACGCGGCTCAGCTCTTCCGGCATTCCTGTTTCACGCAAGGAAGCATACATCTCTGAGAGCCTGAGCTTATCAAAGGCTTTAGACAGATCCAAGCTGACCATGAGTCCTCCAAGCAAGGATATTTGGTTCGCCCCCAGAATCTTGCCCGTGTGATCGTCCAGGAGCCCTGATACACCTGTTCTGACTCGTACGCAACGTCTTGAGCCTCGAAGTAGTGGATCACATGTAGACGCCAGTGCTCGGCACGCATACTACGGAATCGAGTGTATGGCCTGCTGTATCCATGGAGCAGCACGACGCGACTTTTGAGGATCATCAAGAAGGCCTTCGAGCCCGCTCCCATCAGTCCTATTGTGCGCAGTTGCTCCGGGCCTGATGGGGTCTTTCCCGGCTTTGGCAGCCACGCCAACTGCACCTCCGTCCATCCACTTGGAACGCTGGCATTCGACGTGGTTAGGGAGTTTATCGCAATCTTGGACTCTTCCAGCTCACTATCTGCGCAGCCTGCTGTGGGACAGCCTTGTGAGGCTTGACCTTTGACAGCGCCCAGACTCATTGTTCCTCCGAAAACCATTCAGGATCAAGATGCAATAATGGCGGCATCTCGAACTCGCATTCTTTGATGACAGCAGTGCACCTTGTTCCAACTTAAAACATAGTTTTCTTCGAAAAGATTTCGGTGCCAGTTGTCGCAGCAGTTGGGAATGTCTGCGTGCACTACCGTCTGCATAGGCAGTCTGTGCATCATCAAGGATTTGGAGCAATCTCTCATGCTTCCGTTGGCGAGCAATTCGCCTCAGATTTCGCCTGGCATCTTTAGCCGGCCGCCTGCTCAAGATCACTTCTCCTATCTTCTGCCTTCTGAGAGTTTCCATGAGCATGGGACTCCGATGAAATTCGTTGCACAGCTCTCCACTCAGCAAGCACTTCATGACCAACCGTCTTCAGACTATATTTCCATAAGTGCTGTTGGGGAACATCCACTTGCTGCTTAACTGCAAGCTCTGGTGTTTGAAGATCCGGGGTGGCCTCTGCGATGATCTCGTGTAGCGGTGGTGCAATCACCTTTGGAACAGTGCTGCCTGGGGCTACACCCTTCCACGGTTTCCAGTTCAGCTTGATGTTTGCGAGCAGGGGAAGATGACCCGATGATCTCCACGCCGCAACCGGCGAGCAGCCAGTTGCTTCCGAACCAGCACGTAGTACGTTTGGGACTTCCCATTCGGGTGATGATAGGTGTGTTTCGGGCGGGTCCAAGTATTAAGGGCCACTAAACGGTGCTTTTTTTCAGCAACATAACATCACTACGTTCCTGTCCCTGTCCAGCAATTTCTGCCAGTGGTGACAGAGTGATGTTTGAAATCTCCCATCACCAATTTGGAGCTGCGAAATGGCAACCCTGACAGTAGACTATCCAAACAATTCCACAATCTCTTACGCTCCTTAATCAGACCTTCTGCTTGTCTCCGGTCACATGACCCAACGCAGATTGACACATCGCTGCGATGTCGAACTGCTGTTTAGCAATGAGCCCTCGCCAGTGTAGCAACCTGCCTGGAATCAGCTCTCGCCACTTAATGGAGTTGACATCAACACAGTCAGTTCTGACCCCAAACATGACTCCTCCGCCTCTGGAGCCCTCTTTCGAAAATGTGTTATGTGCCACTCGAGACATACACGTTGCTGAAGGACCAGTGAGTCTCCGCCAGTGTAAACACTTTGATCAGGGGTTGCTGCTTGAGCTAGCCTGAACTCTTCGGACAAACCACTGCGATTCCAATGAACGCATTGGATGCGTTCGGGTCCTGAGTGTCCTTTTTCTGTCGCGGCTGGTTTCTTGACTGCGTCTGCTGGATGACTCCATACTTTGATAGTACGTCCTTGGTATGTGGCAGTGCCCTGTTGGGCTGCACATGTCAAAGCCCTGCGCAATCATCGCTTCTTGATCTTGTCAGGTATGCTCCGCAAGGAATCGCCGTCCATCCCCAGCATTCGCCACCGAAGTGACTCCACGCGAACTCGGGGGGGGCATCGGAAACCTCACGCCCACCGGTTCGTATGCAACACTGGAAAAACTTGTCTGCAGCGGTGCTCGGACTTGGGACCGAGCCGAGCGGGCCTCTATCTTTGGTGTGATCGTTGTCGGTCCTGGAACAGAGATGCCCTGCGTGTTACTGAGGGGCGTCATCACCAGGTCACCAGGAAGCTCAAAGGAAGCTGCGGCATTGTCGGCTATGATCTCCACGATTGCTTGCAGAAATTCCCGCGGGTAATTTCGCACTGCCCAGGATATGAAATGCAGCAGGGCTGGTCAAGGAAGAATGAAAGCCGAGACTATGAAGACTTTCTTCACATTCAAGTCACGCAATATCCTTGCCGTGAGATCTTCAGCCCAGTTCAGCGTACTCTCCGGCTGCAGCTGGAGAATCAGTTCGACCTCGTCCAGAACCCAGCCTCTCAAGTGCCCTTCGCAGCTTAGCGACATGGCAATGTGCGCCCCCACATGTTCGAACCGCTCGTACTGCTACTCCTACTCCTGCTCCTACTACTGATCCTACTCCTGCTCACTCCTGCTTACTCCTACTCCGACTCCTACTCATGCTCCTTACTACTACTACTACTACTACTACTACTACTACTACTACTACTACTACTACTACAGCTACTACTAGTGTTACTACGGCTGCTACCGCAACTACTGCTATCCTATTACGACTGCTACGCCATTGCCACTATTACTACAACTACTACGACGACGACGACCGACCGCGACCGACCACACCCACGACCACAACTACGACCCCGACCACGACCACGACAACTACGAACCCGACCACGACGCCGACCACGACCACGGATGCGACTACGTCTACAACTACGACTACTCCGATGACGACTGCTACGATTGCGACTACTACCAATTTCAACATTGAAAGCAGCAGAAGGCATGGTCAAGTATTCGCACTTGTAACCCCGACCCGTGTCTGACGAGTGTTTTGACATCACCCCGAGAAAGACTGCAATACAAGCTAAGGAAAGAAGATGACAGAGGCTAAAATGTCACAAACGCAGTCGGCAAATGGTTTTCATAGAGTGTCCGTCTCACAAAACCAAACTGGAAACAGGGCAACTTGCCCTCTCCCGCATCGCCACAGCAAATGCAATTGAGATGGATCGGGGGCGAAGCTATGTGGTCACCAGGCGACAGTCATGTGCAGGTTCTTGCCGGTCGCAACTGTGACGTCGCCATTCCTTGCTTGACCGCAACATCCCTTCACGTGACATACCTGCCCCCTGCTGAGAACTGCACGAGGCACTCGCCCAGCTTGCAAACAGACGGCGACATCACAGTCGAAAGAGTAGACTGATATATCAGAACTCCATGAGTAATTTACCGAGTGGCAAATTGATGGCTCCTGTTCCTGATGTGATAGTCGTTAGCGTTGCACCCACGTCGGCCTAGATCGAGGCTTTCCTCTAAAGGTTCAGACCTCAAAGGCGCTCAAGCCGTGAAGCCGCGAAGTCCACATGCCGAAAAGTTTGACACCCCGAACCCGGAAAAAATATCACATCGCCTGCACGATGTTGCCGTTGACAGTGCAAGATGCAGCACCTTCTTCTGTCGCCGCTGTGATTGGTTGGTCTTGGGGAGGATGTCTGGGAAAGTCTCAGGATTTTGAGGTCGACTCGCACTTCAGATGCAGAATGATGTGCAGCATGCTTGGGCGAAGTTTCGAGACTGTTGACAAGCACTGACAACTTCTGGCACGATTCATATTCCGCCTTATTCCAACGTGCTACCTTGTCTGCATCAGCCCGTTGCCGAAAATGATCGTCGGCGAAAGAAAGCAGTGCTCCACAGACCAATCTTAGACATGCGTAAAAAAAATCCTACCCAGTCAAATATGCGGGTTGAGCCAAACCGAAGGCACAACTCATGATGTGTTTGAGGTCTAGGGCTCGCTGGGACAGCAAGAGACACGAATAACGGTTGACAAGATGCTTGTACTGTCACCGATGACCACATTCCCGTACAGGGTCGTAGCACCACCTGCGGAGCATCAACAAGAAGATGATGATGATGGGTTACTTGGTAGCAGAAGTATCATGAGAGAACAACTTTTGCTCGGGAGGCCTGACCCTGCAGAGCCAACCGTGAAGGTGATCCTGGGCTTTTGCATTCACAACGCCGGTTTGAACGCTCGTCACACCTGCCTGAATGCTACCGAAAAGCAATTAAAAAAAAAAACACTGCCGGTGCCATCCCTGGCCAAGTTTGATGTTGATCGAAACCTGTAACTCTCCAACAGCCCACCTTCTCTTAATCGCCCTTCCAAGTATCGACGGATCCACCGTCACAGCGCCCTTAAGCGACACAGCACCGAGGCCGGATGTGAAGGTGCCACTGCCAGCAACCTTGGCCGATCTCTACCCTGCGGCCGGGTCAGGGCTCCTGAAAAAATGTGCCTTGGGATCACAAGACAGGCGCGATGGAACGAGGTGGGTTTGCAAATGGTAGTTCGCGATGCCACACTAGCATCTGGGAGGGGGGGGGGGGGTGAATATGTTAAT